ATGCCTTTTATCAGGTGCCCAGCACATGCTTGTTACATGAGTAAACCCTCACGTAGGTGCAGAGTTCTCACTTTGCCAAGCACTTTTCCGCCCGTCGTCTCCTTTGCTCTTCACCAGAACTCTGTCAGCAAGAAGGACTGTTGTGTCTGCCCTTTGCAGGTGATCACACATTAGAAAGGAAGGGGCAGGTACGAACCTCGGTCCTGACTTCCTTCTGTAGCACTCTTCCCTCCCCCCCCCCGCCCCACCCCATCATCCGAGGGGTTTGGGGGGTTGAGGTGTGGGGTGAGGGGCCAGCAGTGAATGAAGTGTGGCTGTTTTTCTGCTCTGTGCTGCCCTGGGTGCATTAGTCAGAGCAGCTCAGCCATGGTATTTGCTGTCCCTGCATGTCTGTGTCTGTGGTTCACCAGTGGAATGAATCGATGAATTCCTGGAATGCTGAGGCCAGCGGGGCACTGATGAACTTAACCAGCCTTGACAATTTTTCCTCCAGCCACATTCCGAACCTCACGAAAGCCAGGTTTTCTCCAGCCTAATTAGAGCAGTAGGTCACCCCAAAACAGCTCAAGAAGAGACCAGTCTGATTTGATATGATTTTTCCCCCCATCTTGTCATTGAAAAAAAAAAAGTGTTAACATTTCTAATAAGAGGCTGCCTTTGTCGGTAAAGGCCTCAACGAGGGTGAGCCTGCAAAATCGGAGCGCCTGCAAGAAGGAGCTATGGGTTATTTGTTCCTCAGCAAACACAGAGAATAAGGCAGGGGCCTGGGCCAAGCTTCAGGAGGCTTGCTTTCCAAATTCAGTTTGCAACCACTATTTGAGACCTTGGGCAATTACCTTTCTTTCACATGACCTCGGGGTCTTCACGAGGCCATTAAACCCAAAGACAGAAACAGGTCACTTGTACAAAGAAGTCAGAGTCATGGGCCATCTTTGGCAACCATGCAAAATCAGAGTCAACGCAGATGTAGGTCCAACCCTCCCCTAACACAGATGTGTGTTACGCCTGCAGCCGGCTGGGTGGCCGTCACAGCAAGATCGTCGGCCCTATGGCTTCCTCTGGAAGCAAGAAGCCTGCAGTGTCCCCACAAGCTCCCAGCACCAGCACTGGACCTAACCAGCTCCCAGGAGACCACATAAAGAAGGAAGAAGAAGTCTTCCTTTCCAGCAAGCTCCGTTCCACGGGCTCAGAACTAGCATTCACATCCCCTGTCATCTCCCAGGCCGGACAGCCCGGCTTCTCAGTCAGTCCTCATGGCTTATGATTCCTTTGCCTCATCATCTTAGTCACTCTCTCAGAATGCTTCCAGGTTGCCAGTACCTCTGGTACTGAAATATCAAACACTGATCTCAGTATTCTATGTGTGGTCCAGGCTGGAGAGAGAATGGATTACATACTCTACAGTCTGAATCACAAAATAAATGAATCAGGGACCCAGTCACCGTTCCTGATCCAGGTTCTGAGTTCTGATGATGAGACATGTGTTGGACACCAACAAGCTGGCCTGATATTTCAAGGTGACTTACGGAGATGTTGGACACTTGGGCCAACAGTCCAGAAGTAGGTCCAGACAGATATGTTGCTTGATGTTTGACAAAGGTGCAAAGGCAATTCAATGAACTCAGCATTGTCTTTTCCACAGATAGAGTTGGAACATTAAGCAAAATATGTCCCAAATTAACTTTGACCTAATCCCCATACATTATACAAAAGTTACCTCAAAATGGATTCTAAATCTAAATGTAAACTATAAAACTTCTGGAAGAAAATTTGGGACAATCTTCACAACCTAGGGCTAGGCAAAGGGTTTGCAAATGTGACAGCAAATGCTCCCTCCCTTATAAAAAAGGGGGGAAATAATGATAAATTGGACTTGATCAAATTAAAATAATTTCGACTTGATCAAAATTGAAACTGTCATCCTGTGAAAGACACTGTTTGGAGAATGAAAAAGATAAGAGACAGACTTCAGGAAAATATTTGCAAATTACTGGTACAAAGGACTTGTCTTGAGAATGTATAAAGAACTCTCAAAACTTAACAGTAAGAAAACAGCCCAGTTTTTTTAAATGGGCAAAAGACTTGAATAGACACTTCAACCAAAGCAACTATATACAGATCGCACATGAAAACATGCAAAGATATACAGCACCGTTACTCATTAGAGAAATGCAAATTAAAATTATAAGGAGAGCCTAACTGGTGCATCCCAATGGTTGTGTGTCAACCCCTGAACCTGGAGGTCATTGGTTCGATTCCTGATCAAGGCAAATGCTTGGGTTTTGGACTTGATCCCCAGTAAGGACCATGAAGGAGGCAACCTATCAATGTTTCTCTCCCATCAATGTTTCTTTCTCTCTCTCTCCCTCTTCCTCTCTTTAAAATTCAATAAAAACTTTTTTTTAAGTTTACATCCCATATAATCTCATTAGTATGATATTCTATAGAAGAAAACGAGAACAGGTCAGGGGTTGCTGGAAGTGAGTGGTGAGACCCCTGAGGGACAGTTAGAGGGAGGGTTTGGAGGTGATGGACTTTAGCTTCTGATCCGCAGATTCACCCAGGTGTTCCATTCATAGAAATGAAATCCAATCAAACCAGACCAAACCAAAGGTTCCGAGAAACAAACAAAAAGCTTCTGTAATTCGAATGATGAAAAAATGGTTTCTCATTATGTTCCTTTGGTCTTACTTAATTTGTGTTAACCAAAAGTAGCCAGTGTGTCCTATTTCTCCAGAAGCTCACTAAAACCATTGGAAATCATTGAAAGTGGGCAAAAGGCTTGGAAACATTAAAGTACTCAACATATAGCTTGAGAAACAACTAGTTCTCCGGTCAAGTTCATGGGCTTTTCTTGAAGCCTGAGCACTTGCCCTATAGCTGCTGCATCCCGCCAGAGTGCCCTGCTTCGTTCCTTCTCTTCACATTCTAAAACGAAATGACTGGACAGTTGTCATCCTCTCTTTCTACAGTATCTGATGTGAGCCAGGATTGTGGGACGATTTTTTTCAACAATCTCAAAGACCTACTGTTAATTCATAACCCATTTTAAAGCATTATATTTCAGTCTGCATTCGGGGCATTTTAATACCATGGCTTTATTGAGATATAAAGTTCACCCACTTAAAGTGTATAGATAAAATAATTAATTGATTGATTAATTAAAATCAAAACAAGTAAATTATACAGGTCAGTGGATTTTAGTATATTCAGTTTGCCACCATCATCACAATGAATTTTAGGACATTTTTGTTACCCCAAAAGGAAACCCACTACCCACTATGTAGAAAGAATTGTGGTAGGCATGATTGGTTCTGAAATGACTAAAACATGGTAGCCCCTAGCTAAAGGTCAGTGATCTGGGACAACTAAATTGACAATGTTGTAACAGAAGTAACACAGCAGTAGGAATAATTTTATCTATATTTAGGGTTTAATAAACACTTCAGTGAAGAAGTGATGTGTGTATTGGGTCTTGAAGGGCAAACCCAGATTGGATTACAGTTGGTCATGCAGTGTGTGTTAATAGGTTTTCATAATGTGTCAGTGATGGTCACTAATTCTGCGTAGCCATTTCTCCATTCCCTTTTGTTGCACTCCTAAGACACAAGGAACTTGTCATTAAAATTCTCATGGAAAACCAGTATTATATAAACATAATTTTTTATATATCTTAGTTATAGACCCTTTTATACTCAAACATCCTACCAAGGGGGAGAGGAGTATCTTTTTAAAATTATTTTATTAATTTTTTACAGAGAAGAAGGGAGAGGGATAGAGAGTTAGAAACATCGATGAGAAACATTGATCAGCTGCCTCCTGCACGCTTCCTACTGGGGATGTGCCCACAACCAAGGTATATGCCCTTGACCAGAATCGAACCTGGGACCTTTCAGTCAAAAGGCCGATGCTCTATCCACTGAGCCAAACTGGTTAGGGCAGAGAGGAGTATCTTTTACAGAAAAAGAAACTGAGGTAAGTAGCTCTACTAAGTAGAGTGTCTTTTAGTATAGCTCCCTGATCCATTTTCTGTACCATTCTTTGCCATTGGACTCTAGACACATGGAAAATGCCTCTTTTCAATTCAAGTCAATATAGTTGTCATTTATTGAATATTTACTTTATTCAAGATCCAGAGCCAGATGCCTTAGCATTTAATTTCCTGTGTAAGATTTGGTGTCCTTTTCATTTATTCACTCATTCATATATCCATTCATGCAATCAACATATACCTCATACCTGCTATATCCTAAACAGTAGAGGAGGTGCTGAGGTCAATTTATAGTAACACAAAACAGGACATTTCTTAACTTTCTCACTAAATTGCTCTTTGCCAATAGCACCTATCCTAATTTTTCAACAATTTTTATTGCCCTGACCCAACTGATTTAGGGATTGATGCTGTATCTGCAATCATAATTATTAATATAGCCAATCCTTACATTGAACAGAGGAGGGATCCAGGGTGGAGAGGGGAGGTGAATGCCCAGGGGCATAATGAAGCATGTCAGTAATAAAGCATGGGCTAAACTCCGTATCTCATAACACCCTGGGCAGAAATATTTCCACATTTCTTGCTCTTTCTCATAATTCTACTCAACCTGCCTATGAAAGCTAGGTTGTTGAGTTAAAAGAATGCCCCCAAAAGTTCACTCTTACATGTTACCTACTTCTGAAACCAAGAAAAGGCAGTAGTAGCATATGTGGAGACAGGAAATGAGGGATGAAAGTGAAAGACACATTCTCAGTGAAGGTGTTTACACCCAGGTTAACATCCTCAGGAAATCCACACAAAATGAAAAAGAATAAATACCTTTTGGTACTTTAAGAATCATAAATCTACTTCTGCCTCTGGCCATGACAGACTACTGATGATGGAGTTGCTCTCTTGACAAAACAATTATGAAACTGAACAAAATATACAGATCACCTTACTCCACGAAGGATACTAAAACTCACAAAAAAATATTAAATTCTTGGTATTTCAGGCATTGAGCAGGCAGCACAGGATTCTGATCCTTGAGTAAAGAAGCACACATGATAAGCCCCGCAGTAGCTCTGGCTTTCCGGTGGAGTCTCTTCTGGTCTTGGCACAGAATGGTGGAGCTCAAGCTAAATGCTAATCTTAGTAAGCTCAGGGGGCAGACATTGGAATCCCAGGCTACTGAAATAGCTGGACTTTGCAGGGCAAGGAAATGGAGAAGTGGAGGCTTCATGGTAAGGGCAAGGATAGCAAAGTCTGTGTAGGTTTTCACTTTGGCTTGTTGGCTAAGGGCCAGCTATATGTATATAGAGTGAGACTATCCATGAGGCTTAGCACGGATTGCACACTGTAAGGGCTAACCAATGATGATGCTCAAGGTCATGCATTGCTAGGAGATGTTGGAGATCCCAGTCAACCTGAATGAAGAGCACCTCAGGCACCCCAAACAACCACACCTTAGCATTAAGGACTGTGTCCTTGAATAAGGGTCACACGCTAGGGCTAAGTTTAAAATGAAAATAGAACTTAAAAAAATAACTTGTCCAAGCTCCACAGCATCTAAAGGATCTGCCAATAATTTACCTGCCTGCCAGGACAAACTCAATACCTTTAAAGGAAAATAATACAACCCATACTCTCTGCAATGTATTATAATATCTAGCATACAATCATACATTAATGAACATTAAAGAGAAGATGTTACCCGTATTTAATTGAAGGAAAAAAAATCAGTGGATCCTGAGGTGACTTTGAAGTTGGAATTAGCAGGCAAGTCCTTCAAAGTTGCTATTATAAATATGTTCAAAGACTTAAAGGAAAAGGTGAATGTAATGAGTAAATAGATGGAGAATTCCAACAGAGAAATGGAAATTATAAAAAATTTACCAAATGGAAATCCTAGCATTAGACATGAAACTTTAAAATTCACTGGATGAGATTAAATGTGGATTGGAGACTGTATTAGAAAGAGTCCATGGCCTTGGAGACTGAGCAATAGAAATCATGAAATCTGAAAAGCAGGGAAATAATATTGGGGGGGGGGGGGGGGAACAGTAACTTGATGACTTGTGGGCAATACCAAAAGATCTGTATATGTGTAATTGTAGTCCCAGAGGGCAGAAGAATAATTCTTGGAGAAATAATTACCAAAAATGTCCCAAATTTGGTGAAAAGCCTTAACTGACATATCCAAGAATCTCAGCAAAACCCTAGCAGGCTAAATATAAAGAACACCACACTAAGCTAATCAGAGTCACACTCTGGAAACCAAAGAAAAAGAAATAGAAGTTACCAAAGGAAATGGTACATTATATACAGAGGATAACAATATGAGTGATGGCCGACTTCTCATCAGAAACCATGGACGCCAGAAGATAGTAGAACATTCAACTTTTTTTTAAGTGCTGAAAGGAAAAACAATTCTCAGAATTTTCTACTCAGAAAAAAAGTACCGTCAATAATAAAGATATTTTTTCAGATTAAAAAAAGTACTAAGAGAATTTATTGCCAGCATTCCTGATGTATAAGAAATGCTAAAGTTCCTCAGGCAGAAGATAAATTATACTAGGAAACTCAGGTTTAGAAAAGATGAAGAGTACCAGGAAGGATAAATATATGGGTAAATATAAAAGAATGTTTTATAATTAAATATATATATATAATCATTTACAACAAAAATATTATGACATTGTATTGTGAATATGTAATACATATGACTACTATACCATAAATATAGTAGATTTACACAGTTGTAAAGTTTTTAGATTTTACATGAAATGATATAATAATCTAAGTATTCAAAGTTAACAATGCATGTTAAATTCCTAGAAAGACTTCTAAAATATAAAATATATAGCTAAAAAGACAATAGTAAAACTTAAATTGAATTCTAAAAGGTATTTAGTTTACTTAAAAGAATGTAAGAAAGGAGGAAAAGATAAACTAAAAACAGATGAGACAAATAGCAAAATGGCAGACCAATAGCCAACCATACCAATAAATTAAATGTAAATAGATTAAATACTCCAATTAAAAGATAGAGGGAAAAATAAAAGCCAAAAGAAATTAAAATATGACCATAAAAAGAGACAAGAGTGGAGAGCCTTTCTCCGGCCATGGTATGAAATAGATGTTGGGATGGAAGAGAAGGCATGGTGATGCTGCACTCTAGCTGAGGAGATGTAGGAAGGGGCCCTGAGCCAGGGGGCGCAGGTGGCCTCTGGAAGCTGGAAGGGGCACGGAAATGATCCTCTAGAATACGTGCCCTGACCAGAAGGAAACAGTGCTTGCAACACCTGACATCTATGTCAGACTTCTCACTTACCGTTATCTTACAAAACTAAGATAATCAGTGTGTGTTGTTAAAAGCTATGGGTCTGTGGTAATGTGTTACAGCAGCAATAGAAAACCAATACAGGATGGAAAAACGTATACCCGCAGATAGCATTAAAAAGCTCACGTGGCTACATTAATGTCAGATAAAGTCAACTCAAAGACAAAGAGTTCTGCCAGTGATAAAGAAGGACATTTCATACTGAGGAAAGGGTCAACACATCAGGAAGATATGAGTCATAAAAATATGTGTATCTAACAAGAGCTTCAAAATACCTGAAATAAAAATGGGCAGAATTGAAGAAAAATGATTGGAGGTCTCCTTAAACCTTTCTCTCAGCAGTTGATAGAACAATTAGACAAAAACAAATCAACAGACCATAAGGACGTAGAAGGTCTATAAGGCCTTGCTGGGCCTAATTGACGTTTCTAGAACACTGCCCCTAATTTCAGAATGCATGTTCTTTCCTTGTGCACACAGTACATTCACCAAGGTAGACAAAATGCCAAGTCTTAAAGCCTGTCTTCATAAATGTTAAAGGCCTGAAATCATACTAATTATGTTGTTTGACCATAGTAGAATTAAATTAAAAATAAATAACAGTCGGTGTTGCTCAGGAGGTCCTAGTTCAATTCCCAGTCAGGGCATATACTCGGCTTGCAGGCTCCATCCCCAGTGTGGGGTGTGTAGAGGCAGCCAGTCAATGATTCTTTCTCATCATTGATATTTCTGTCTCTTCCCTCTCCCTTTCTTAAATAAAAGTAAATAAATCTTTCTTTAAAAAATAATAACAGTAACAGATGTAGGAAAACACCAAATGCTTAGGACTTAAACAAAATCTAAAATGATGCATGGATAAAAGAGGAAATCACAAGGAAAACGAGAAAATATTTTGAACTAAAGGAAAACAAAAGTCATAACATGTCAAAATTTGTGGTTTGCACCTTGTGCAGTGCTGAAAGCCTTGCAGGATACATCGCCAATGTTCAAAGTGCTCTCAGCTCCCCGGTTAGGGCTGATCTTCCTTTTGTACTGTGCGCTGTGCAGCTGGTTTTTACTCCATCAATAACAACATTTCATTACATCTATTTGCTAACATGTCAGTCTCTTCCTTGCTAAACCGTAGGAGCTGTTTTAGGACAAGTGCTGTGTTCTCTTCTGTGTTTTGTCTCTAGTTTTAGCACAATGTGTAATTCTGGGTTCTCGGGAAATTTTGAATGAAAGATTGGGAATGAATGGATCTTATTGTCTTCAATAGGACCCTGTGCGGGCCCTTTTGACACCTGAGGAAACTGAGGCCCCAGGTTACTTACAGGACAAGTGACACCAGGTTTCCAGTAATCCCCAAACATGTTCCTTTCAGGCCCTGAGTCACTGACTGAAATATCACCATTAAGAGGAGCAGCTCCCCAAAAAAAGTACAAATGATTACCAGAGCCTGGCTGGTGTGGCTCAGTGGTTGAGCATCGACCTATGAACCAAAAGGTCACAGTTAAATTTCCGGTCAGGACACATGCCTAGGTTGTAGGCTTGATCCTCAGTGGCGTACAGGAGGCAGCCGAATCAATGACTATCATGTCATTGATATTTCTCTCTCTCCCTTTCCCTTCCTCTCTGAAATCAATAAAAATACACATAGTAAACTATTAAGTTAGCTATTACAACATCATCATGTAGTCTTCTCTCTGGAAGATGAGTGAGGATGCTTCAAAGTCTTGGAGCTTTTCATAAAGGCCTGTAGGGAGCATGCGCACTGACCCACCACCTATAGCAGATGGGAGAGCCCAGGCCTGGCCCTGTCAGGGGGCTCTGAGATAGGGCTGGAGGGTTAGCAGTGGAGGCAGCACCACAGCCTGGTCCCACCCCGGCCCCTGCCTCTGCAGGAAGCACTTGGAGGCCTGAGGTTGCAAATGTGGGTGGTGGTTCAGGCCCCACAGTGGCTCTCGGCCACCCACGCTGGTGGGGCCGTGCCTGGGAGCCTCTTGTTTCTCCATTTTCTACCTAGCTTTCAGTTTCCAACTGGGGTTTGTTTCCCCTTTGTCTCTGGTTCAGCTTCCTTTTCCTGTTTGGTTTTAAGTAGAGTCTGAAAATCAAGTGCTGCCTCCCGAGGTCTGTGGTCCTGAGATCAGCAGAGCCTGGGAGGACAGGACTCAGCTCCTCGGGTTCCCTGTGCTGCAGCCTTCCAGCCATGGCCACGGGGTGAGTACGGGGACCAACAAGGGGACAGCGGGATGTCAGAGGAAACCTAGAATCATGATGGTGTCGAGCTGAAGGGGCCATAGACATCATCCCAGGTCCCCTGTTGTACAGTGGGGAGATCCAGGAACAGAGCAGCGGGCATAAGACTTACCCAGGGCCACCCAGCGAGATGCTGACAGCGTGCACTTTCCCTCCGCTGGTCTGTCCATTGCGCGGCCTGTGTCTCTCGATGCCTGTGGTCTTTAAGGCTTCTGTGTGCAGAGGGGGTCTGATCTGTCTGAGGGGCTTGTGGTTTGGCTCAGGTGCTATTGATGGGGCCTGGCTCGCCTCTCCAGAACGGCCTGTAAACATTCAGGTTGTTTTCTCTGAGTGCGGAGCAAAGAGGGAAGAACCGAGGTTCCTTTCACAATGGAAACTTCATGGACTGTACGAACAGAGTCCTGACCTCAGCCTGAGAGACTTGGACCTGGGCCGTCAGCTCCGAGACTGTTGTATTT